AAACGGGAAACCGCTCATGCTTGGAAAAAAAAAAAAAATGGTGGGGTTTTTTTTTTTTTTTGGTGGGGGGGGGGGGGGGGGGGGGGGGGGGGGGGGTAAGGAATGAAGTGTTGGTGGGAGACCTGGGGGTGGGTAAATACTAAGGGGTGAAGTATTGGTAGGGTAGTATGGTACTATGGGTTCTAGCATGGGTTTATGTGCACTTTGGAGGGGGGGAGGGTGAAGTGTGAAGGGGTGCAAATGTGGTAAACGGTTTGATGAAGTGGGGTCCAAACAAAACTAGTAATGCGGTAAACGGCGTAATGAATTGAGGGCGAATTAAAAAAAAAAAAAAAAAGTGTGCGTGTAATGAGTATTTTTATTTTTTTTGCCGTTTGTTTATATTTTTTTTTCCCCAAAGTTTTTTCCCGGAAATTGAGGCCATGTCCAATCATCCAATTTTGTTTTGTTCAGTAGCACTATCTTAATTCAACTTTCGTCACTTTCTAGTTCCCATTGACGCCGCCTTTCGGGGTTTCCTTAGGGACTGATTCACTTTGTCTTGTTTGTTGTGTTCATGATCCAATTTCTTCAAGGCGATTCTACACTTCTCGTTTCACTCGCTTCATCTCTTTGCCGCTGACGCGTTTATCATACATACTTCACGTCCATTAGAGCCGTGAATAGCATTATGTCACACCAACAGGGCAGGGCTCCTATGGAGCATCCTTCGGCCACGGGAAAGAACTCCGGTGGCACCAGAATGGGACACAACACGAAGACGTTCGACTCACCCTTCAAGGTCAATCCTGTAATCGACGGGAAACGGGATGACCCTATATGGCATTTCATTGCACAAGGCCACTATCTCGATAAGTCCACAACATTGGGGAGGAAGAGTGGCCGACGCTGTTTATGTAGGTTGTGTGGCCGATCGATTTGCGGGGGCGCTAAAGCCGCCAAGGAGCATTTTTCAAAGAGCGAGAAATTTTATTGCGAAGCGGGCACTCCGACAGTTTGGCATGCCATTTGGGCCCGGGACATGTCAAAGTGTATGAAGGACTTCATTTTAATGGTCGAGACCTTGCAGACATTGGAGCCCGGCCATCCCAACTTCCAGTGACCGCCACTTCGATATCCCGAGGATTCTGTCCCACCCCGTTGTCGCATGGGAGTGGCGCAGCCCCCCCGGAGGTGGTGCCTTCACCGCTTTGGCCACCACTTCCGCCATCTGGACTTGTGGGCAATGCCCGCACGGGGGGAGGTCAGTTCCTACAAGAGAGGGTCAGTCTGTGCCAGCGCATCAACCCCAACCGGTGAGGCAAGGGGTGTCACGGACAGAGCCACCTCAGGAGTTTGACGAGAGCAGGACATGTGCTTTCGTTGAGGGTGGTCAGTGGGGAAGGAATGGGGGCACATCGGTTGGCTTGGCCCCTTTGTTTACTGATGGCATGGCTTCACGTGCAGCATGAGGTGCTTCAGCCGCGGTGCCTCCTACGGGTCATCGCAACTCATCTGACTACGCTTGGTTGCCACCATCGTCGTCAAGGGCTCGAGCGGACGTGACCGACGACCTTCGACAACCTGTTCAGCGGTCCGAGGCTTTGCACGAAGTGCATGATATCCGTCAACATGCCTCCGCTCCTGGAGATGGTGACGAGGCACTTCCTGCGGGTGCCGGTGTCGAGGTCGCCGTTCCTGTGTCCAATTCCTCGCCCACCCCAGCTGTCGCGACCGACACTACCCGGACCCCTGCGGGTATTGTCTCCGGATCATTAGATCCTTTATACCGAGTGGGCGATCTTCCAGTCGAGCAGTTGTTGGATGTCGGGATCCTTGGCGGCTGAGTCACGCCAGGACGAGGCAGAGGCACCTATAGGCAGCAAGTCGTCACGTCTTACTACTCAGACCCAGTGGAGCATGCATGGCACTTACAGATCATGCGATTCATTGTTGAGAGTGGGATGACCTTTAACTGCGTGAAGTTGGAAAGTATCAAACGTATGTTTACGCCCATTATTCCACCTGTCGTTCTGGGGGCACCCACGCCGAAGGATCCCTCATATCACATGCTTCGCACGACCCTTTTGGACGAGTTTGATGCTGAGGTCCAAAAGTGTGTCAAGCCAGTCCTCGATTCGTCGATGGAGAGTGCTTGCACGATCATGACAGACGGATGGACCAACATCCGTCATCAGACGTTGTGCAACTATCTTGTCGGGACAAACAACGATGTAGCATATGTTGCTATTGATGTCATGCACGGGAAGAAGGACGCCACTTCCTTAGCGAAGGTCGGGTTGAACAGGGTGAAGCCCATGAACATTAAATTGTGAGATATCACTGCTTTTGTCATGGACTCCGTCCGGGTCAACGCTACAACAGTTGATGTCTTCCAGGAGGACGAGAGCGTCAAACACATCCTTTGGATTTCGTGTGTTGCACATGTGATGAACTTCATCCTTGAGGACATTGGAGGGATTGATTGGGTATTCACCCATATCGTGCAAGCAAGGATGGTGACGAGGTTCTTCAAGCGCTATAGCCATGCGCGAGAGGTTTGAAGTTATTCATGAAGAACAATCTGTTGTTGCCAGCAAAAACCCGCTTCGGAACTGTCATCATGATTAGGAGGCTTCTAGACTTGGAGTCCGAGCTCATGAAGGTAGTGGTTGACGGTCATTGACGTGACACAGTTTGGTCGACCACGAAGATTCGGAAGGACGCGATAGAGGTCACTGCATGTGTTGGGTCACCTCCGTGGTGGGAGAGTTTCCGAGCGCTATGCAAGTTGTTGGATCCCATCATGAACATGCGGAAGATGGTAGACAACGACACGAGGCAGATTAGCAAGATTTTGCATCGTTATGATTATATGATCGCAGCTTGTTTGTCTACCTGCGCTGACATTGATTGGGATCAGCAGGACATTGTGCTGGAGGTGTTCGACAGGCAGCGGACCATGTTCAGGACCCCCGCTCACACAACGACGATGATGTTGGATCCTAATTTTAGAGACTCCACGCTGGTCGACGACCCAGAGGTGCAGCAGGGACTGGTCACTGCTTTGGTTCAGTTTGGCTACCCGGAGGGATTGCCGCAACATAGAGAAGTCCTCACTTTGATTGACAAGCTCCACACAAGGGAACCTCCTTTTGACGAGGTCCGCATGCAGCGAGCCCGTGCAAGCTTCACTAACACACAACCAGTTTTTGGTCAACCAAACAAGCCAGGTTTCCTCACACTGCTCATTTCGCGAGCAGGATCCTTTGCATTTGGTCGATAGCATCAGCGTGCGAGAGCGCGTGGTATCATTGGAGTTTCATTCACTCCAAGTCACGCAACAGGTTGGAGGTTGCACGGGCTGAGAAGCTTGTGAGATACCATTGGAACCTCCGACTCTTGGACAGATCATCACTGTCCGACGACACCCCAGCTGAGAGGCCTGATGTGTACGATAATTGGGTGCACTATTGACAACATTTGGAGGAGGAGTTGCCATTCGACCAGCAGCTCATTACAGACAGCGGGGCACAGGCCAGGTTCACATATGAGGAGATGTTGCATGCGAGGGATAGGATGCACAATATTTCTCGGATGGGAGTCATGAGACGGTTGGAGAAGTCGGACAGGAGGAGACGCAGGGGTGATGGTCGTGGAGGTGGAGGGCATGGCGGGCGTGAACGAGGTGGTAGACGTGGAGTTGTTGTGCGTACAGGGTCCGCAACTCGTTGTGCACATGTGGACGAGGTTGTCCGCAAACCTCGTTAACACTAGGATGAGGGCGACTTCTTGTACACGAGTTCTTCGCTTTATGCACGCCAGTTGAGAGGGACGACGATGTAGAGGGAGCACACCGTTCGCCCCCCAGCCGCAATGATGATGATGGGCCTGATGGCGATGGAGAGGGTGCACAACGGGCGTCACCTGCCCACAACGACAGGGATGACGATGGAGAGGGTGCACATGGTTCGCCACCCACCAACGATGACAGGCGTGGTGATGGAGAGGGTGCACACCCATCGCCACCCGCAGGTGGCATTATTGTCGTGGAGGTCGACCGCGATGCACACGATGATGGAGGTCGGGAGGACGACAACGATAAAGACGGTGCTCCACGACCGGGTCATGGTGTTATCTTGAAGCGCCTGGAACGCGGACCAAAGGGGAGACACACCATTGCCTCTTGCCTGCGTAGACGTCATGGTGGGGGTTCTGCCATCACACGCCCCCGCGTCCTCGACAACGAGCAGGTCGTCGTGTCTGAGGACTCCATGAGCGACGACGCACATGAGGAGCTCATCGATACTGAAGTTGTTGTTGCTCGCCCGCAGGGTGATCCGAGAATTCTCCAGGATACAATGGTGTTCATGACTGAGGGGGCGTAGGCGCCGCAGGGTGCCAGTCTGCAGTTGTAGACTCCAACACCAGCGGTTGTATGTGAGGAAGCGAAAAACGAGAGGCCAAATACAGATCTTAGGGGTAAGGTAATTCGGCCTCCCCTTGTTCTGAACGATCGAGGGTCTATGCCCCCTCCCAGTGGCGGCCTTTGCAGGGAGGTTGATAGGACAATCAATAGAGTCCTTTTAGAGGCCGATGTGACAAATGAGGCTCGCATCACACCACCTGCATTGACAACTGAGACTGTTGGGATGCGGTTCGCACCACCACCCGCCGTTCTGGACGATCAAGGGTCTATACCCCCTCCCCATGGTGTCATTCGCAGGGTGGTTGACAGGACAACCGATGGAGTCCTTTTAGAGGTCGATGGGACAGATGCAGTTTGCACCACACCTCTTGCATTGACAACTGACACTATGATTGTCTTGTGCGGACAACATGGAGGATGGAGAGGTTTCGCGGACCCTGGTAGGTGCGCATAGTGCAGACGGTGATGTCAGCCTCACATGTCCGACGATCACTATTCCGCCCACTGATGACTTATTGGCCATGGATTCGGCCCTTGTGGAGCTCGCAGACCTTTCCACTTTGATATCTCCAAATATACCCAGTATGCCACCGCCGAAGCTACATCAGCCTGATGGCAAGGACCCAGGCAACGGAGGCATCACACGCTTTCACGAGTTCGGCGGTGACACAATCCTGCATCCTATGGTCTCTGGCACTCCCCCTGTTTTTCGTATGGGGAAACCTTGGGCAGTGGATCAAGCCAAGGCCGAGACGAGCACACGCCACCGACGTGATGGTCCACACATCTCCGTGAAATGCAGTCTAGTGGATTCATTGGACAATTTAGTGTCTCCGGACTGCGGCGGGCCCCAGAGTCGCTCTGTGCAGTCTGTCCTTGGCGACGGATCCAGAGGCCCACCGAGCCCTGTACCACATGGCGAGTAGCGACGGTGTGGACGAAGATGACCCAACACAACAATGTCTGTCAGGGTCTTCGACGACAAAGGCTCGTCCTCACGAGGAGCCCGCTGGGTTATCGAGCATTAGGGAACCTCGCACAAATGGGCCCCTCAGAAGGGCATCATTGGTCATAGGCATCACTGCAGGGTCATCATCGGTGGCACCTCATGTCGACGACCCCGCCTCCGGTCGTGGGCGTGTTGTGACCGTTGGACTGCTCACAGTATCATTCTACGACTGCAGGAGCACCGACCCTGTAAGCGAGCAGGGAGTCACGGGCGGAAGTGGACCAGTAAACGTGCCTATGGGGACGCGATCTATCGGGGTCGTTGGCAGTGTTTGTCATGACGCCTTCATAACATACAGCGACCAGCACGGGAGACTTCTGTGGTCTAAGACATCGGATGTCACCTTCACGAGGGTGGTGAAGGCCAGTATATCCCGAGCGAGGAAGAAGGCCGGAGCAGGTACATCGACACCGCACATACGTTGTCATTTAGGGCCTTTTGCACGTGAAGGTCCAGAGGATGGTGAGATTATGGCAGATGGCAGTGTTGTAGAGGACAGAGGTGTTGCGCGTACAAGATCCTTGGGCGACACGTTGTGGAGATCCGATCATGAGCATCAAGTGCATCAGGCTAATGCAGCTGCATCAGGTGACGGAGGCAGGGACGGGCAGCGGGCAGAGTCCAGACGGAAGAGACACAACAGTGTGTTGATCGTCCATGATGACAGCTCCGACATCCAGGTCGGTTAGACCACAGACGCCGATGATGCGGATGACTCAGATTACGTCCCGGCCTTTCGGACGACAGATAGAGGAGATGGAGGAGGACGGCGGGTTAGACAAAGGACGAGACTCAGGCCACACGGGCACAACACACTGATGCACCCTATACGGCCTATCGATCGAGGGGCGGAGGCCCGGTCACTGCTCCGCAAACTAGAGGAACAGAGACTGCGGAGACAGCCAGAGAGAGAGAGAGAGAGAGAGAGAGAGAGAGAGAGAGAGAGAGAGAGAGAGAGAGAGA